GGAAATGAGTCATCTTCAAGGAGAGTTCTGAAAGAATTGAACCAAGAAGATTCCACAGGTCAGTATTAGGTTGCATGTAATCTTACAAGTGGGCAAAATACATTTATGTAACCTTGGAAAAGAAATCAACCCTCTTAGAGGGTTTCATTAATAAAATTGGAAGTCATCAAGACCTGTGAAATTTATCTAAAATTCTGCATTCATGACAATATCTTTTGATGGACTATAGCGAGTATTCACTACTCACTATTCCTAACATTTACATGTATTCCAAGTTTCCTATTGCAAAGTTCAAAATTGAAACTAAAGATTTCCCATGTGAAGACTTTTTGGATCAGTTGTGTACTAAAGACATCCCTGGTCAAGTGTCAATTTATAGTGATTAATTACAGGAATGGCTCCAGCCTCCGAATGCACTGGGAATGAGTATGCAGGTTAGCTATTTATACAAATGTAGCACCACGGTTAGTCTACTTTTCAATCAGGTTAGCCTAGTTTTCATTCTGGTTAGCCTAATTAGCATTCCAGTTAGCCCACAGAGTGCTCTGGTTAGCCTACTACTGTAATGGTAGCATGCTATATTCTTAAAATATTTCACTTTCCTTCAGCCAGCTCCCGGGTGGTGAGGTGGTCATGAGACTCGCTCATGACCCAAATGACCCAGGTTTGATTCTGGCTGTTAAAATTGTCTTTTTCTTTTTTTCCCTGTTTAGAGAGAAAACCTAAGTGTCTGGAACCATTCCTAAAATTATGGTAATGCCATGTGTGTCAATTGATACCCTTGATCAAACCTCAATTGACACTTGATTGGCCATCTCTGTCGATACTTGGTCAACACTTGATCAACATGTCAGCCGACAGTTGGTCAAGAGTCTACTACTTTTCCCAGACATGACATTGAGTGTCAATCGATACATATGAGTCAGTCAACACTCGGCCAACTACTGAATGACTGTCAATCGAGTGTCAATCAAGTGTTGACCAAGTATCGATCAAGATGTGGATTGAGTGTTGATCAAGATGTCAATTGAGCGTGGATGAACTGATCAAGGATATCGATCAATACTTAACTGTGGATGCGTTTAGTACTCACGAGCCAACCTTTTATCTGCATTTTTATATCTTATCAGGTGTAAAAGCCAACCTAAACAAAGCCAAGGTCAATGCTTGTACCAAGTGGTGTGTAGTAGAAGGTCTCCTAAAGCAAGAAATTAAGGTAATGTGGAAGAGAATCCATCTCATAGGAGGAAAAGCCATGATTTCCAACAGTTTTGGCAAAAGGGTACCTTTTGTCTTGGAGCCTTGTGGAATCACTACGCCAGAGAATTATGAAGATAATTTCATATGCGGTTCCTGTGTCAGGGAAAATGAAGCAGCTTTGAGGTGGAATAGCAACTCTAGAAGTGTGCATTCTTCAACGCCACCACAAGAGGCTGATAATAGTGGTAAGCTTTTTGTTAGTGTGTGTGCAGTGTTCTTCCTTTCCTTTAAAACTGAAAAAACTCTTTATTGACTAACTTGTGACTGTTCACTGTTATCTACGTGATGTACCAGTACCATGTTAAGCCTGGTTCACACTTAAAGGATAAGCACAAGCATAAGCACAAGCAGTAAGATGTTCACATTAGTGACAGGCGTGCATGAACCCTGCGAGTTATGTCAGCGAAGAAAAAGACGGTGATCTGTTGAACTCTTGTGCTTATTTTCACTTGTTTCACACCAGTTCCTGCTTGTGAAGTAAAGATAACACTTGTGACTCTGAAATAAGCATAAGCACACTAGCAGAAGATTCAAGAAAAAAAAAAGGAAAATGGCTTTTTTTATATACTTATGCTTGTGCTTACATGTTTTGTGCAGCTTGGAATTGTCTTGTGGTTATGCTGGATCATGTTTACTGTAGATAGTCTTGACCGATATGTTGACCAGTCAATATATCGGTTGAGAGTCGGTCAATAGTCGACTGAAATATCAGTTGACAGTCAGTTGACACTCACTCGATAGTTGGCAACAATCAGCAGACAACTAAATGATAGTCATTCAATATACTGAGAGATCATCTATCAGCCGAGTGTCAGTCGATACTTTGTAGACGCATCTCAATTGAGTATCAATCATATGTCGGTGGTATATCGGCCATCTCTTGGTGAAATATCAGTCCTGTCAGTGGTATATCGGTCAACTGTCAGTCAAATACCATCAGTCATGTGTCAAGTGTCGGTCAAGTGTGTTAATTTAGCAGTTGAGTCCAATGGCTTTCTTTTTAAGCGACGACATATTGGTATACATAGTTGACCCATACTCAGTGAATTATCAGCAAAGTGTCAGCAAGGTATCGGTGAAGTATTTAGTGAATTGTTAGTGAGGTATTGGTGAATTAAAATAAAAGCTACATTGGCTGACATACATCTCAGCTGATATATTGACCAAGTTTTGACCGACTGTTGAACTACATGTACTATTGACCGAGTGTTGACTGACTGTCGCCCGATATATCAACCGACATATGGGTCGTTATTACCTGCCATAAACATGATCCCTTATGCTTGTACTTAATACGCTTCTGCTTGTCTCAAGAGTGTGAACAAGGCTCTACCCTATCTTGAGTCTTTTTTTTGTGTGGTAACTTTGCCCACTCCAGGGTGTGCAAGTTGGTTCAGAAAGATGATCCCAACTCTATGTAAAGTGAATGAAATTTTTTAGGATCATGACATGGGCATGTTCATTCCTCATTTCAAATTTTCTGTCCTTTGTTATCAGAACTTGTTGTATCATGTAGCACACCAATGTCTTCTAATCACACTTTGCTAACAAGCTTTTCAAGAATGGGTTCAGTGAAACGCAAGAGAATTGATGACACAAATAGCTCTGTGATCAACTCATCAACCGACTCAGATCAGATGGACAAGAAAAGAAGGAAAGATCATGTCGTTAGATCTGGTAGCAGTACTCCAGCTAGTCCTCAAGTTCGTAGAGCAAGGGGTGAACAGCTGATTCTACCCAGGTAATAAGCTTTGTTTGTTCCAGTCTCAAGATGTTAATTCTCCTTACTGACTTTCATACACTTTTTTATGTGAGTTGTGAGAATCTGGTGGTATATCTATATTCTCTGGTTGATTCTTTATTCTTCTCACATGTCTCCTTCACTATTAATTTTTTTGCTACTTCAGTAGGAGGAAATTCCATGGTGATCATTCTTGGCATTACCAAGTTACACACCACCATAATATTGCGTTACGTGGTCTACACTCCTGGCCAAAAGTCCTTCAGACACTTGACAAAATGCCAACTGGTGACCCATTATTTTGAAGTGGGAAGTCATTGTATTTTCTGAGATCCCCTCCCTCCAAGCAATGTTGGAATAGTGGGTGGGTCTACTTTGAATTAATCAACATTGTGTTGTGGGTGGGGACAGAAAGACCAGTATGTTGGCAAAAGTGCAAAGTGTCCCAAGACTTTTTATCAGGATTGTAGATCAGGGATGAACTCCAGAGGAGCTTGGGTGCCACAGGCGACTACATGTAACTTTTGCCTTTGGATGACTGGACAAATTTTCTTTTTTCATGTACCTGTAAACTTAAGTGCTGGGCACCCAGGATTTCATGGTTAGAAACCTTCGGGCTCCTCGTAATTTTTCTTAGACCATGGCCGTGTAGATCTATTTTAAAAAAAAAAAATATTGTTGAACTAAGTCAATAGACTGTCAGACAGGATTTGTTTTATCAGTTAGGCAGTCATCAAAACTGTTCAGTTTACTGCTCTTTGATTGGATTGATGCAAGTAATAATTATGAAGATTTTGTTAATTGGAATGCTTCTGTCATTTTAAAATAAAAAAAGGACTCATGTTATGGTGCATTAAATTATATGAGCAAACTTTGCAGTTACTTGTACTGTGGAATAGGTTTCCTTTGATGTACATGTAACTCATGGCTAAGAAAAGGTAAGTATAGTCTTGTGAAGAGAATTTCTCCTATGTTTGGCACACACGTGTTTTTTGCATGCACATGTTTTAACGAGTTTTTATTGCTCCCAAATGTTGCATGGGTAAATAAAGGATTGTATTGTATTGTTTGTAGATGTGATAGGCAAGTGCAAAGGGTTATGTACGTGAGTGTATAATTTATAATCTCTAGATCTGCATGCATTACCTGAACAACAACAAGCAAATTCATATATCTTTGTGTGGGTCATGAGGAGTAAGAACCTGTGATCAAGAAAACCAAAACTTAAACTTGCCCATGATGTCAATAGGGGATGACTGAAAAACAATGAAGGAGAACTTTGATGTTAAACTCTCTTCATTTCAGAAACCTCCAGAGACCCTGGCGCCCCAAGAAGACAACAAAAGCTGCACAGTCCTTGGTTAAGGAAGACACAGACTTTGCTAAAAGAGTTGAAGAGATTATTAAAAACACGCAGCCAGGTTCAGAAGAGGAAATGCAGATGATCATGAGCTCCAAATCCAACAAAATTAGAAGGTCGCCTACAAAAGATGTACAACGATAAAGGCTAATTAATGCTTGAGTGAGACAAATTAAGACTAATGGAGGTTTAATTATACCTGAAACATAATTTAATTGAAAAAGTAACATGTAGTGTGGAACCTGTTTCATGATCAAAATCCTTGTATCTTAAGCACACTGGGAACTGCAATTTTTACTACCACACTGTTGATTGAGATCTTAAACAGCTAATATATGTAAACACATTCCCAAACTGTTGCCCAAGATATACAAAAGTTACTTGCTATAACTTATTTCTATTGCCAACTACATCTGCATCAGCCAAGACAGTAATCATGAATTAAACACATTTCAGGTAGAGTTCAATCTCTTTGTAGCCCCAAAGTTGTTTTTTGCAAGGGGTGTTACTTTATTGTAGTAATTAAAATTATATTATTAAATTCATCGAGTCAGAATTTTAATAGCTTGATTTTTCTACACTTAATTGTTTTCACATGGAGTCACAAGGAGTCTCACACAACCAAAACATTAGATTATATTTGTTAGTACTTTTGTACATGTATTTTTTTTTGTCTTTATAATAATGAACGATATTGTCTAGTCAGACCCGCCCAATTTTTTTTATTGTCAAAGAATTTCATTAACTTTTGCATAAACTTGGAATTGAATTTATTAATTTTTGCACGAGAATCCATGTACATATATTCAGCAATAGAACTGAATAATTCAAAGATAATATTCTTTGACAAATTTAAATTTTAAAATGTTTGAACAGTTACCATAATATTGTTAATTTCTCCTACAGAAAAAAGAAGGCACTGGACTGAATGCCAACTAATTCCATTTTAGCCTATGAAAATAATGCACAATATTCTAGGTGCACTGTAAGAAAAATTCCTCTGTGATCAAGGAACTAGTACTTTCTTACATGTACAATATTCAGAAGATGTTCAGTTTCATGGCGAGCCAAAATGATGCAATGAGCTAAGCATTATAGCACGCACCATTTAGAGGCAAGCACTGCCTTGAGATATGTAAACTAAGGGGCAGTTTTAAATATGGATGTATCTGTTAATAGGCTTTGTACATAGGCCTACAAAACAGTCATGTTATCTTACATGTTAAGTCCCTCTTTCTAAAATTTCATATTCTGTTTACTAGACTAGTAGTTTCATAGTGTCAAAGGATGACTTCAGAGAAGTCTTCAAAACCAGTAACTTCACTAACTTGTGATCAGGCTTTGTTTGCATCTGCGGGAAAGAGGAAAAATAAGGAATTTTCTCTTTCTTACTGCCACAAAAAAATATGTACCCTTGATTGCAGGTTACAAGGCACCTACCCTGCAGAGAAATTGTGAGAGTAAAGCAGTAACACTGTTAGGTGTGTGTATATAATAACTGTTGCGTGACATGTTGCGGCCATTAGTGCATGATTGTTTTTATTGAATGAATTGTATTCCAAAGAGCATTTTGTGTTGCTATTTCACAATAAAATGCCTGGATTTAAGCTGTTATAATATCTTAATATATTAATTATTATTCACTTTTTCTTCTTAATGATGATATCACTATGCTGGGCCAAATGTGCAATCTTGAAAAAAGTTGGGTTATTAAAAGCAGCTTGGATCATGTGTACTAAAGACATCCGTGGTAAAGTGTGGAAAGATACCCTCGATCCACACTTGATCGACATCTCGATTAACACTTGATCGGCATCTCCATTAATACTTGATCAACACTTGATTGACACCTCAACTGACAGTCGGTCGACAGTTGACTCATTTTTGCAGACACCCCATTGAGTGTCAATTGATACATATGAGTTGGTTGACACTGCCAACTATCAATTGACAGTCTATCAAGTGTTGATTGAGTGTTGATCATGGCTCAATCAAGGGTATTGATCAACGCTTGACCGTGGATGCCTTTGGTACACATGATCCAGCAGCTCTCATAAGGTCTCACTTGAATGGCTCGATACCCTATGAGAAGACAATAGAACAAACAACAGAAACAATGTCTCAAACCCCAAAACAATAACAGCTGCTAACAAAAAAGAATTATGCACTTGCAAGAGCTGCTATACTTCTGCTTGAAAATGACATGCAATAGGCTTAATTTCTGCTGCTCTCTCAGGTCTGGCTGCAATCGAACCTACAATTAAGAGCCAATGACTTTTTGTGCACGCTGTTAGTTGAATAACAGATTGCATATTGGTGTAACTTATGAAGAAAATAACTTCTGATGGCAAGTGAATTACCTACTTTTTGCCAGTGGTTTTCAATGATCTGATGTAAAACCTTTCCATCACACTTGAGGATTACTTGTAACTGATGGGAGCATAATTAACCAAAGATACAGATTGTTTGGAGGTATCCAGAAGTTTCCAACTTCCAGTTAAAAAGGAGTTGGGTGGACTGTTCCAATGACATTTTGTCCATGAGTAAAACGAAAGGCAATGGGGGGTGTTACCTAACTGTAGGTAATAGCCTTCCTGATTNGGAAATGAGTCATCTTCAAGGAGAGTTCTGAAAGAATTGAACCAAGAAGATTCCACAGGTCAGTATTAGGTTGCATGTAATCTTACAAGTGGGCAAAATACATTTATGTAACCTTGGAAAAGAAATCAACCCTCTTAGAGGGTTTCATTAATAAAATTGGAAGTCATCAAGACCTGTGAAATTTATCTAAAATTCTGCATTCATGACAATATCTTTTGATGGACTATAGCGAGTATTCACTACTCACTATTCCTAACATTTACATGTATTCCAAGTTTCCTATTGCAAAGTTCAAAATTGAAACTAAAGATTTCCCATGTGAAGACTTTTTGGATCAGTTGTGTACTAAAGACATCCCTGGTCAAGTGTCAATTTATAGTGATTAATTACAGGAATGGCTCCAGCCTCCGAATGCACTGGGAATGAGTATGCAGGTTAGCTATTTATACAAATGTAGCACCACGGTTAGTCTACTTTTCAATCAGGTTAGCCTAGTTTTCATTCTGGTTAGCCTAATTAGCATTCCAGTTAGCCCACAGAGTGCTCTGGTTAGCCTACTACTGTAATGGTAGCATGCTATATTCTTAAAATATTTCACTTTCCTTCAGCCAGCTCCCGGGTGGTGAGGTGGTCATGAGACTCGCTCATGACCCAAATGACCCAGGTTTGATTCTGGCTGTTAAAATTGTCTTTTTCTTTTTTTCCCTGTTTAGAGAGAAAACCTAAGTGTCTGGAACCATTCCTAAAATTATGGTAATGCCATGTGTGTCAATTGATACCCTTGATCAAACCTCAATTGACACTTGATTGGCCATCTCTGTCGATACTTGGTCAACACTTGATCAACATGTCAGCCGACAGTTGGTCAAGAGTCTACTACTTTTCCCAGACATGACATTGAGTGTCAATCGATACATATGAGTCAGTCAACACTCGGCCAACTACTGAATGACTGTCAATCGAGTGTCAATCAAGTGTTGACCAAGTATCGATCAAGATGTGGATTGAGTGTTGATCAAGATGTCAATTGAGCGTGGATGAACTGATCAAGGATATCGATCAATACTTAACTGTGGATGCGTTTAGTACTCACGAGCCAACCTTTTATCTGCATTTTTATATCTTATCAGGTGTAAAAGCCAACCTAAACAAAGCCAAGGTCAATGCTTGTACCAAGTGGTGTGTAGTAGAAGGTCTCCTAAAGCAAGAAATTAAGGTAATGTGGAAGAGAATCCATCTCATAGGAGGAAAAGCCATGATTTCCAACAGTTTTGGCAAAAGGGTACCTTTTGTCTTGGAGCCTTGTGGAATCACTACGCCAGAGAATTATGAAGATAATTTCATATGCGGTTCCTGTGTCAGGGAAAATGAAGCAGCTTTGAGGTGGAATAGCAACTCTAGAAGTGTGCATTCTTCAACGCCACCACAAGAGGCTGATAATAGTGGTAAGCTTTTTGTTAGTGTGTGTGCAGTGTTCTTCCTTTCCTTTAAAACTGAAAAAACTCTTTATTGACTAACTTGTGACTGTTCACTGTTATCTACGTGATGTACCAGTACCATGTTAAGCCTGGTTCACACTTAAAGGATAAGCACAAGCATAAGCACAAGCAGTAAGATGTTCACATTAGTGACAGGCGTGCATGAACCCTGCGAGTTATGTCAGCGAAGAAAAAGACGGTGATCTGTTGAACTCTTGTGCTTATTTTCACTTGTTTCACACCAGTTCCTGCTTGTGAAGTAAAGATAACACTTGTGACTCTGAAATAAGCATAAGCACACTAGCAGAAGATTCAAGAAAAAAAAAAGGAAAATGGCTTTTTTTATATACTTATGCTTGTGCTTACATGTTTTGTGCAGCTTGGAATTGTCTTGTGGTTATGCTGGATCATGTTTACTGTAGATAGTCTTGACCGATATGTTGACCAGTCAATATATCGGTTGAGAGTCGGTCAATAGTCGACTGAAATATCAGTTGACAGTCAGTTGACACTCACTCGATAGTTGGCAACAATCAGCAGACAACTGGACGATAGTCATTCAATATACTGAGAGACCATCTATCAGCCGAGTGTCAGTCGATACTTTGTAGACGCATCTCGACTGAGTATCAATCATATGTTGGTGGTATATCGGCCATCTGTTGGTGAAATATCAGTCCTGTTAGTGGTATATCAGTCAACTGTCAGTCAAATATCAGTCATGTGTCGAGTATTGGTCAAGTGTGTTAATTTAGCAGTTGAGTCCAATGGCTTTCTTTTTAAGCGATGACATATTGGTATGCATAGTTGACCCATACTCAATGAATTATGGGCAAAGTGTCAGCAAGGTATTGGTGAGCTAAAATAAAAGTTATGTTGGCTGACATACATCTCAACTGATATATTGACCAAGTTTTGACTGACTGTTGAACTACTATTAACCGAGTGTTGACTGACTGTTGCCCGATATATCGACCAACATGTCAGTTGTTATTACCTGCCGTCAACATGATCCCTTATGCTTGTACTTAATACGCTTCTGCTTATCTCAAGAGTGTGAACAAGGCCCTACCCTATCTCAAGTTGATTTTTGTGTGTGTGTGTTGTAACTTTGCCCACTCCTGGGTGTGCAAGTTGGTTCAGAAAGATGATCCCAACTCTGTGTAAAATGCTGAAACTTTTTAGGATCTTGGCATGGGCGTGTTCATTCCTCATTTCAAATTTTCTGTCCTTTGTCATCAGAACTTGTTGTATCATGTAGCACACCAATGTCTTCTAATCACACTTTGCTAACAAGCTTTTCAAGAATGGGTTCAGTGAAGCGAAAGAGAATTGATGACACAAATAGCTCTGTGATCAACTCATCAACCGACTCAGATCAGATGGACAAGAAAAGAAGGAAAGATCATGTCGTTAGATCTGGTAGCAGTACTCCAGCTAGTCCTCAAGTTCGTAGAGCAAGGGGTGAACAGCTGATTCTACCCAGGTAATAAGCTTTGTTTGTTCCAGTCTCAAGATGTTAATTCTCCTTACTGACTTTCATACACTTTTTTATGTGAGTTGTGAGAATCTGGTGGTATATCTATATTCTCTGGTTGATTCTTTATTCTTCTCACATGTCTCCTTCACTATTAATTTTTTTGCTACTTCAGTAGGAGGAAATTCCATGGTGATCATTCTTGGCATTACCAAGTTACACACCACCATAATATTGCGTTACGTGGTCTACACTCCTGGCCAAAAGTCCTTCAGACACTTGACAAAATGCCAACTGGTGACCCATTATTTTGAAGTGGGAAGTCATTGTATTTTCTGAGATCCCCTCCCTCCAAGCAATGTTGGAATAGTGGGTGGGTCTACTTTGAATTAATCAACATTGTGTTGTGGGTGGGGACAGAAAGACCAGTATGTTGGCAAAAGTGCAAAGTGTCCCAAGACTTTTTATCAGGATTGTAGATCAGGGATGAACTCCAGAGGAGCTTGGGTGCCACAGGCGACTACATGTAACTTTTGCCTTTGGATGACTGGACAAATTTTCTTTTTTCATGTACCTGTAAACTTAAGTGCTGGGCACCCAGGATTTCATGGTTAGAAACCTTCGGGCTCCTCGTAATTTTTCTTAGACCATGGCCGTGTAGATCTATTTTAAAAAAAAAAAATATTGTTGAACTAAGTCAATAGACTGTCAGACAGGATTTGTTTTATCAGTTAGGCAGTCATCAAAACTGTTCAGTTTACTGCTCTTTGATTGGATTGATGCAAGTAATAATTATGAAGATTTTGTTAATTGGAATGCTTCTGTCAT